TAAATAAATATCACATTTGCAACTGGTCAGTGTTCAAAAAATGCTGGGAAATCACTTCATGTAGCCCTACAAGAGTGATTACTGATAAACTGTCTGAAAAAAAGCAAGTCACATTTTAGAGAAGAAAGAAATCACCCACTGACTTTCAAAGTTGCTAACGACTTTCTACTTCGAGGATCTTGATAGAAATGTAGTGGAGTGAAAAGTACAATATTTGTCTTTCAAATGTAGTGAAGTTAAAGTCATAAGTTCCCAGAAAAAATTATACTCAAGTAAAGTACAGATACTCAAAAAGTGTACTTAAGTACAATACTCAAGTAAATGTACTTAGTTACTGTCCGCCTCTGGATTTAATTTATAGTGAAATCTATGCAGTGTTATTTTACATTTGATTATTCAATTTCTGTACCGGAATACTGTTAGACTTACCTGAAATATATAAAGTACTGCTTATTTCATTAGTATCTTTGTTCTGTTATTTATCTATGCTTGTAATTTGTTTTATTTCTTATGCTGATTTACTCGCCTACAAAATCACCCCAATCATTGATTATTTTTTTTCCAAATATAGAGCTATTGAAGTCATCTGATTTTTTTTTTTCCATATCGCAATATATATCGCAGAAAAAAAACATCGCAATGTGAGTTTTTTCCAATATCGTGCAGCCCTAACTCAAACTTTACTTGTATTTTAATATCGTAAAGCACATTTTGATACAATAATTTAAAAGGCACATATATTCATACATATATTCATATGTAACTGCTGAACTTTGTGGAAAGAATCAAACATCTAATTATTAAAGTCACCTACTGTTTCTGTGTTTGGCAGGTTAGTAAGTTTCTTGGAGAGAAAAACTGAGAAGTTGCACAAAGGAGAGCATCACTATACCGGGGTAAGTCATCTCTCTTTCTCTCTTTACTCCGTTTAAGATGAAGGATTCATTTGTTGTATTAATCTAGTATTAAATAATGATTAAAAGAATAATAAAAAATAATTCTGTCATCATTTATTCTCCTTTTTGTTGTTCTCATATGACTTTCTTTCATGAAAAGGATACATTTTTGAAGAATATACTGGTCATTATTTTGTGTCTTAAAAGTCAAAAGCATCTTACACACTTTACCTAAAAAGAAAAAAAAAAAAAATCATGTAAATTGAAAAATTACATTAGCCATGTTATATACACTTCCGGAATATGTTAAATAATAATGTTTTATCCATGTTATATAACATAGCTATAATATATTTTACACAAATATATTTGTAGAATACAATTAATATTTTATAATTAATATTTTAATTAAATTAAAATTGTTTCAGTTGTTGAGGCTCCAGGACAGGGTTCTAAATGATGTTGTGCTTTATCTGCTGAGCGATGAGGACCCGCGTGTGAGACATGTGGCAGCAAACACCATCAGCAGGTATTCAGACATTTCATCTCTGACTGATCATCTCCCGACTGCATTCACAGATCTCACACTCTGAGTTTGCTCAATCTTTCTCTACTCAGGTTGGTGCCCAGGCTGTTCTTTGACTGTGACCAGGCTCAGACAGACCCGGTTGTGGCCATAGCTCGAGATCAGAGCAGTGTGTACCTGCAGCTGCTAATGCACGAGACCCAGCCTCCATCACAGTTCACTGTCAGCACTATTACACGGTACACTACTGCTCTTCTTTTTTTGCATGACATGTTTAAATGGCTGCTTTCATTTGTATTTATTTATTTATTTATTCAGCAAGGGCACATCAATTGATGTAAAAGTAAATATAATGTTACAAAATGTTCTATTTCAAATAAATGCTGAACGTTCTATTCAAGAATCCTGAAAAAAAAAACATGTATCACTGTTTCCACAAAAATATTAAGCAGAACATCTGTTATCAACATTGATAATAATAAGAAATGTTTCTTGAGAAGCAAATCAGCATATTAGAATGATTTCTGAAGGATCATGTGATGCTGAAGACTGGAGTAATGATGCTGAAAATTCAGCCTTGCCATCATAGGAATAAATTACATTTTAAAATACTGTATATTATAATACAAAACAGTTGTTTTAAATGGTAACAGTATTTTGCAATATTACTGTTTTTACACATTTCCCCCCCCCACAAAATTACTGTATTTTTGCTCAAATAAATGCAGCCTTGGTGAGCATAATAGACTTATTTCAAAAACAACTATGGACTTATTGACCCCAGAGTTTTGAATGGTTGTGTATTTGGCTTTAATCTAATTTCTAATGTGATCACTGCAGAACATACCGTGGCTACAGTCTGGGTCAGAGCACACCGGATGTTACAGTGGAGAACAACCTATCTCGGGTCATTGCTGCCATCTCCCACGCCCTCACCTCTTCCACTTCCAGAGCCACCACCGTGAGTCCCTTAAAATATTGCATATAGTGGACTGTTTCCAAATTGCAAGATTAATAAAAAAAAAAAAAAATCATAATAGAAGACCTCTGTGGGCTTCTGTGTGGTTAGACATAGTTCTGGTTGGTGGTACAAAAATAAGAAACAGCTGCTGTAATTATGATGTGTGGTCTTATTTGGACTCAAGATCTAATCTCTATACTTTAATGTCATCGCTCTAGTTTGGCTGTTGTGAGGCTCTGTGCCTTTTGTCCAGCACCTTCCCAGTGTGCACTTGGAGCACAGGCTGGCATTGTGGCTTTGTGTGCTCTTCTGTCTTTCATCTCAACCGCTCCAGCCAGTACCGCAGCCGAGGACGTTCCTTTAGGTACACACTCATAATCTGAATTCACACTCGGAATCTGAACCTTACAGCAGTAAAGTCTTCCATTAGGACCAAGATTAAAACCTGCTTACAGTAGACTTGATGTCTTAATCATATTGTTAGTGTAAAATAATATAAAAAGCCAGTCTCCATTGCCAATGTAAGTGCATTTTTTTATCTGTCTGTTTCACTCTGCAGTAGTATAAATGTTTTTGTTCTTCTGCAGTCTCTCTCAGCCTTGTGGTAGTGAGGACATGCGCCGGTCTCTGACGGTCGGTGTGGCCAGTATGGTTTTGTCTCTCATCTCCTCTGCATGGTTCCCTCTTGATCTGTCTGCCCATCAGGCTGCTCTGCTACTGGCTGGAAACCTTCTCGCGGGTACAAACTCATTTAGATTAGAGTAGCCACAGTTTTTTTAGAAGAGTGTAATTTTTTTTTATGAAATGTATTAACACAATCGCCCATAAAGTAGTAACAATAAAATTCTTTGTTAAATTTAAAGGGGATCTTAGGTTATTTAGATCTAATTTACCCTTCCTAAGCCCCACTTGTCTGTTGGGGGCCTTTTTTTGACCCAGAACATAAAAAGTGATATATATATATATATATATATATATATGAATTTTTAAAAAATGAAATTATATAAAGCTAATTTCCCTGGAGTAGTAACAACAGAAGTATGCATATATGATTTTAGGTTGTTTAGATCTTATTTAGGTCTTATTTACGTGTAAGTTTCTCAATTGCACTATCATTTGTATAAGCAAATAAGCAAACGTTTGGAACTTCACTACAGTAAAAATCTACACTTCTATAAGTGTAGATAAAAAATCTTTTGCACTTTGGATGTTTTATAGTCTCGGCCCTTTATTTCTATGTGTGTTTGTTCAGCGTTGATATGTAGATTTTATTATTGGTTGATATTTTGATTTTATTCAATACATAAATTCTCTGCATTATAATCTTTCCCATTCATTTCCTCTGGTCGGTCAGTTTTGACCGCCAAAGTGTCCACTCACTGAATTAAGTTATTTGTTTTGTTTGTTCAGATTGCATATTTTAAAAAAGTCATCAAATTTTGAACCACTCAGATTAAGGAAACCTCATTTTTATTAAATAAACATTAATGAAACCTGTCAAAAATGGCCAAATAGCCTGAGGCGTGTTGAGTGTGATTTTATTCTGTTCATCCAAGGCTAATGAAAGTCTCATCTCTGGAGCTATTTACATTTTTTGTGTTTTTTTTACTTCGTTTTAGGCCCGTTTGTATTTAAAATGTTGTTTTCTACCTGTTTTTGTAGCTGTTGCACCAAAGTGCATGAAGAGCCCGTGGGCAGGTGAGGAAGAGTCTAACCCCACCCCCTCAAAGGTAGAGGAGGCGTGGTCTGCTCTTAACGACCGCTCTCTGGTTGTTATGGTGGAGCAGCTGTTCTCCCACCTGCTGAAAATCCTTAACATCTGTGCCCATGTGCTGGATGACACACCCCCAGGACCTGCGGTCAAGGTAAAGGATTTCAATAGATCCTGATTACAATAATATTTTAAGTGTACAACACATCAGTAATATTTAATATTTACAAACGGTATTAAAAGCGTTATTATTTCTGTTAATCTTTCCTTCCAGGCTACTTTACCCTCATTGGGCAACACTCCATCTCTCAGTCCAATCAGACGGAAGGGTAAAGAGAAGGAGATGACGGAGCCGAGCACCACCCCCATGAGCCCAAAGAAAGGAGGAGAAGCCAACACAGGTACAGTCACACCTACAGTGCCACATGTAGACCATACATAAGAATAATTCTACTGAGTATGCAAAAGAAAATAGGTCTCATGGTGCTATTCGTTATTTATTAATTGAATATTTACAGGTATCTTGCACTGTTTTTCCATACAGGCAGATCGGCGGACAGCACAGCGACACCAGCAGTTAACAAATCCACCACTCTGGGCAGCTTTTATCACCTCCCTCCTTATCTGAAGCTTTATGATGCACTGAGAGCTACACATGCTAACTACAAAGTCACATTAGACCTTCACAACACTAATGAGAAGTTTGGGAGTTTCCTGAGGTCGGCGCTTGATGTCCTTTCACAACTGCTTGAGATGGCCACCCTGCATGATATTGGCAAAGTATGACGTCAAAGCCTAATTCCATCTTGTCAGTGAATAAATGATGTCTGAGCAAAATTAATGTCAAGAACAAACTTTAACCCTGTTTTGAATCTATCTAGTGTGTCGAAGAGATCCTGGGTTACCTCAAGTCCTGTTTCTCACGGGAACCCACTATGGCCACTGTGTGTGTTCAGCAGGTTAGACATGCGTAACTCTTTTGTTTTAATCCGTGGCATTACAAAGTCCTAGGCTTCACCATGTGCTCTGTGCTTACAGCTGTTGAAGGCATTGTTTGGGACCAATCTTGCATCTCAGTATGAGGGGGCTTCATCTCACCCATGTCGGTCCCAGGGCAAGGCCCTCCGGCTCGGCTCGACCAGTGTCAGACCCGGCCTCTACCATTACTGTTTCATGGCCCCATACACTCACTTTACCCAGGCCCTCGCGGATGCCAGCCTCAGAAACATGGTGCAAGCTGAACAAGAACAGGACGCCTCTGGGTGAGAGAGAGTGTGCTTGTGTATAACATTTCCTCATAGAGACAAATCTATAAATAGAAAACTAAGAGACCCATTATGACTAAACATGTAATTTCTGTGATCCCATAGGTGGTTTGATGTCATGCAAAAAGTCTCCAATCAACTGAGGTCAAGTATCACCAATGTTACTCGCCACCGAGGAGACAAGGTAAGTTGCCCCATAATTCGTTACTATAATTATAAAATAACAAAATATACAGAAATTTTAAAGATGTTGAGTAACATTGGAAGTGAAAACAGTGGGGATACCTGTGACACAAATCATTATATCAAATAAAAAATATTTATAAATATTTCTTATTTATTAATAAATAATAAAATATTGTGGTAGAAGAGGAATATATGGATATATATGGAAACATTTATATATTTTGGGAAACATATTTTTTTGTAATTTTGTTTAATTATTTGATGGGTCTGTTTTATTGTATTTATGTTATTACGTGGTATTGTTATTTGTTGCTCTTATTTATATCATAATTTTGACAATGTTTTGTTTATGTGTATACTATCATGAGGTGAATGTACCAACTGGAACAGTAAAATATATTTCAGATCAGTATTTTTTGTTTTATGTGCTTTTGTCATTTTTATTAGGTTTTTTATATTTATGTTTAGCTTAAATTTTTTTAACTTTTACTTTTAATAATTTTAGTACTTAGTATATACTTTAGTATCTTTAACTTGTTTCAGTTAGTTGCCAATGCATAGTTTCTATTTTTTTTTTTAGTTTTTCATTTAATTTTTGTTTAATTTAATTTCATCTTATTTTAATGGGCAAAATGATTTTTAATAATTTTACTTTTAGTTTTATTAAACAATAACAATACTAATGTCTTGACCACTCACTACATTTCAAGTGTCTAATAGTAGACTACTTGTGTGTGTTTCAGAATGCCATTCATAATCACATCCGTTTGTTTGAGCCGCTGGTGATAAAGGCTCTGAAGCAGTACACCACCAGCACCTCAGTGGCCCTACAAAGACAGGTGCTGGACCTACTCACCCAACTTGTGCAGCTCCGGGTCAACTACTGTTTGCTTGATTCAGACCAGGTAAGTCGTTTAGGGCTGTGGATTAAACTCCTACTGAGTCAACATGCTAATCTCCATTTTACTCCACTAATTGAGAATCAAAAGAAATCTTATTTTATTTCTACATTAGACTTACATAGTGCTAATATTTTACTATCCTGTGTTTGTTTCAGGTATTCATTGGTTTCGTGCTGAAGCAGTTTGAGTATATTGAAGTGGGGCAGTTCAGGTAAGACCATCTGACATAGTCACCATAACACACTACCAATCAAAAGTTTGGGGTCATGTTCTTCAAGTAACACTTTTTTGTCAATGTAGAAAACAGTTTTGCGTATTAATATTTTTGTAGAAACTGTGATACATTAAAAAAAAGATTCTTTGACGAATAGCAACTTAGAACATTTATTAGAAATATAATTTTTTGGTAACATTATTTTTTTGTAACTTTTAAGTTGTTGCATTCTTGCTGAATAACAGTAAGTTAGTTATTCAGTTTAGTTTATTTTATTTATTTATTATTATTATTATTTTTTTAAATCTTACTGATCCCAAACTTTCCAATGGCAGAGTACACTTAAATGCACAGATTTGCTAATGTCATTAGTTTGCACTAAAGTGATTTATTTTTCCTATGTAGGCACTCTGAAGAGATTGTGCCTAACATTTTCTTTTTCCTGGTTCTGCTGTCCTATGAGCGCTACCACTCCAAACAGATCATCAGCATCCCAAAGATCATACAGCTGTGTGACGGCATTATGGCCAGCGACAGGAAGGCAGTAACACACGGTGTGTAGAATCACAATATGAATATATATTCACATCCTTGAGGTGAATATGTAATGACTGTTTACCAAATCACATTTTAAACTTAAAAAAAAAAGAAAATAAATATTTGCATATCGGCTGTAAAATTTCACATAATATGACATCTAGTTTAAACATTAATCTAATCATTTGAAAAAGTTAGACTGTTGATTCTTATTCTTCTCTTTATTTCCCAGCAATCCCTGCACTGCAGCCTATAGTACACGACCTCTTTGTGCTGCGGGGCTCCAATAAAGCAGATGCAGGGAAGGAGCTGGACACTCAAAAGGAGGTGGTGGTGTCTATGCTACTACGCCTCATACAACACCATCAGGTAACACTTTGTTCTGTTGTGTGTGTGTTGCATTCATGGATTTACATGTAAAATAATGGATGCTTCTGTGTGTAGGTGCTGGAGATGTTTATTCTAGTCCTACAGCAGTGCCATAAAGAGAATGAAGATAAGTGGAAGAGGCTTTCACGACAGATTGCTGACATCATCCTTCCAATGATCGGCAAACAGCAAGTGCGGTTCTGTCTAATCTACCTCCTGTCCTTATATAATCGTGTTTTCAAGAGTTTCATCTCAAATTCAGAATAAAATCTAATAAACAGTTGTTGTTTTTTTAAATGTGTACTTTACAGATTTGCTTTTGTTTGCTTGACAGATGCACCTGGACTCCCATGAGGCTTTGGGTGTGTTAAACACACTGTTCGAGACAGTGGCTCCCTCCTCTCTGCGGCCTGTGGACATGCTACTGAAGAGCATGTTCATCACACCTTCTACACTAGTGAGAACCTTCAGTCACGCATCACTTAGATTACTTTCCTCGTGCAGTATATATTATTATCAGGCGAATTTGTGGACAAAATGGTTCATTGTCTATGTCAGTAGTGTAACAATACACACTATATGGACAGTGTAGAGCATTTGTGAGATAAGGCACTGATGTTGAATAAGAAGGCCTGGCTCGCAATCTCCATTCCAGTTCATCCCAAAGGTGCTCAGTGGGGTTGAGGTCAGGGCTCTGTGTGGGCCAGTCAAGTTCTTCCACACCAAACTCATCCAACCATGTCTTTATGGACTTTGCTTTGTGCACTGAGGCACAGTCGTGCTGGAATAGAAAAGGGCCTTCCCCAAACTGTTCCCACAAATTTGGAAGCATAGCATTGTCCAAAATGTTTTTTGAAATGTTCTGAAGCATTAACATGTCCCCTCAAAAGTAGGGGGCCTAGCCCAACCCCTGAGAAACAGCCCCATACCATTATCCCTCTTCTATCAAACTTTATAGTTGGCCCAGTACAGTCGGCATGTAATGACATTTTCTGCAACCCTAATTCACTGTGCACAGTATTAATGCATTATACTGTTATTCCACTATTTATCTGTGTATCAGGCTCAGATACATTTGTTGAAGTGGGCATGCCCAGAAGCCCGTCTCACTCAGCCAATGGGAGTGAACTGAAGCAGATGCTGGCCTC